CCCATTCCCGTGCCCGGGGTGGGGGTCCCACCCTGACGGTCCCGGGGGTTCCCACGCGGGGGTCGCTGAGCTGCGCTGTTGCCCACAGGTGAAGGATGAAGGTGGGCAAGCTCTGGGCACGCTGAGCTTGCCCCTGGCACAGCTGCTGGCCCAGGAGGGGCTGGCCATGGACGGCTGGCTCCCGCTGGCCGGGGGCGCGCAGCTCCTGCTGCGGGCGCAGCTCGGGGTGAGTGGGGGTCCCGGGGAGGGGCTGGGGGGCTTGGGGAGACCCCCCCTGACCGCTCCCCTCCCCTCGCCCAGGTGCTGGTGTCGCAGCAGGTGGAGGCCAGAGCTGCCAGCAGAGCCCCCGAGGGGGGGGACACGGAGCCGCGGGAGGAGGAGGAGGAGGAAGGGGAGAAGGATGAAGATGAGGAGCGCGGGGCGGGGGGGCTGCGCCAGCGCCTGCCCCCGGCGGACAGGTACGAACGGATCCACACCCCCGGATATCCCAAATTCCCAAATAATTCCCCAATTCCCAGCCCCCCAAGCCCCAGCCGCGAGGGGCAGGGGGGTTTTTTTTTGGGGGGGTGCTGACCCTGCGCCCCCGCAGCCGCCCCGAGCCCCCGCACGGTCCCCGGCTGCAGCTCTCGCTCTGGTACCACCAGGAGCAGCGCAAACTCGTGGCCATCGTGCACGCCTGCAGGTCAGGATGGGCAGGGATGGGAGGGGTGGGCTCAGGGTTGGGACCCTCGGGGTTGAGACCCCCCCCGGGCTGAGCCCCCGACCCCTCCCCAGGGAGCTGCGGGCGGCGGCCAAGGAGCTGCCGGACCCCTACGTGTCCCTGGTGCTGCTCCCCGACCGCAGCCGCGGCACCAAGAGGAAAACGGGCGTGCACAAGAGGACCCTGAACCCCGATTTCAATGAGAGGTGAGGGGGGGGCTCGGGGGTCCCCCGGTGCCGCCCAGTTCGGCCCAGTTCGGCCCAGTTCGGCCCAGCACGGCTCGCTGTGCCCAGGTTCGAGTGGGAGCTGTCGCTGGAGGAGGCGGCGCGGCGCAGGCTCGAGGCCACCGTGAAATCCACGCTGTCCTTCGTGACCCGCGAGAAGGAGGCGCTGGG